GTTTTCCCATGTTTCTCTCGTGTGTTGGTTATGGTTAACCCTTTGTTTCAGGTAGACATAATTCGATCGACTCTTATTTGTGTGGGCGTTATTGTCATTGCTGCTGCTTTTTTGTCTGAAATTATAAATAGAGGCAAAACAAACAACAGGTGTAGTCTCTAAACTCATACACTAAATCGGCCTGTGATTTCCGAAGCTCTTACATGGGAATCAGCACTGGTGTCGCTCGCAAACTCACTTAGTGCGTCATTAAGTGTTTTTTTTCAAAGGAGGCCAATGAGCTTGCTAGTCGCATTTCCTTAGGTAGCTTGTTCCATATCTAGGCATACCTAATTAAGAAAAACTTCTGCCTGGTGGCTGTTTAACATTGTTCTATAGCCATTGTACTTTTATTGCGTCTAAGGTTATATCCAGTGTCTTCAGAGAACCGAGTATAATTAGCAGGGGTATACTATGTGGTTAAGAGGCTTATAGAAGAGTACCAGATTTAGTCGTAGTCGTCTTAACCATAATGTTTCTAGTCCCAGGATTTCACATCTGGTATAGTTGTTTGTGCCGTTATCGGTTCCGAGTACTTTTAGCATGAAGTACCTCTGTACTCCTTCTACTTTCAGTTTGTCTTCTAAGCGTGTACTACTAAATTTGAATGAGCAGCAATCTAGCAGTGGGCGTACACAAACCTTGTACAGTAGAATTCTGGATTCACTTCTGTAGAATTTCCTGAGTAGGAAACAAATAAGCCTACATGATTTCGATGCTTGTTTCGAGATATGCTCTGGAAATGATAGATTATGCGAATATTTCAATCCTAGGTCCAGTACAGATTTGATTCTGGGGGTTTTGTGGTCCCGAAATTCTAGGTCACTTTCTAGATTGGAACAACCTATGCAAGGCCAGCCACACTTTTCTACATTCAACTCGATTCTTCAGATTTCACATCATGGATCCGTTTTTTTCACTTCCCCGTGTGTAGGGTTCACGGTTGTGCCGATATCTGCATTTGTGCACGTTTGGGTCTCCTTTAAGTAAAGTGCATACAGTATTGTTTTGACTATGCTAAAGCATTCACTTATACTTTCTGTGTATATGATGAAAAGGGGGGCCAATACACACTCCTTGATGGCACCTCTGCTGATTGGTCTAGGCCTGGAGGTCATTGAGCCAACTTTTGTTGTCGGATATCAGCCACAAAGAAATGATTTTGTCCAGCTGTGGAGGGGGTCGCATATCTCTAGTGAGCATAGCCTGCTAACTGGCAGATTGTGTGGGTCTCTGTCAAAGGCTTTCCTTATATCGAAATAGAGGATAATTACTAGTTCTCTCTTACCTCTTCTATAGGTGACTTCGTTGAAGAAGTCTATGTGGCAAGTGACTTATTATCTTTTCTTGAGGAATCCGTGTTTTGACAGGTTGATTAGTTTATTTTTTAGAAAGTAGTCTGAGGTTTGGTCTTTGAAAACTTTCTCAATGATCCTTGATATGACAAGTATTACATTGATATCATCATATCCATATCACAATTTTTGTGTGTGACAGATAGTTTGTGCTACACCATTACGCAACAGTGTCGTGGATGAGAGTATCTAGTTGATGCTGAATCACCTCATTTCTCCAATGCATTGAGTTCATTTGATTAAGTCAATCGGATCACCCTGGATTCTAAAATCCATAGTAAGACATACGAGGATCAAGAAAGAGTAGAAGCAATGTCAGACTACTCCTCCCGAGTCTTTACACAGGGATCATCACTCCCTATAGGATCAGCTCTGAATGCATCAGAGGAACACAAGATAGATTCCGTTGACGTCGACCAAGACATCGTGCTCCACTGCCTGGTCAAACTAGGTGCAGGGAAATCGATAGGTCCTAATAATCTTCATCCAAGGCTTCTCAAATATCTATCAGCTCATATAGCCGTCCGTTGACCACGATCTTCAAGCCATCTCTCCTAAATGGAGTGTTACTGCATGACTAGAACGACGCCATAGTGACCCCCATCCACAAAGGAGGATCAAGACAAAGCCTTTCAGACTACAGGCCTATTAGTCTCATCAGCACTTCAAGCAAGACACTGGAAAGAATCATCGAGAAAAGTGTCATGGCACATCTGGAAAACAACAATTTGTTATCCAGAGTACAGCATGGCTTCTGAGGAAACCTCTTATGCCCGTCAAATCTTCTCACTGCAAGAGAAAGCTGGGTCAGATCAAGGGAAAACAAAGGACTTGTTGGCGTCGTCTTCATAGACTTCAGCATAGCCTTCGATAAAGTGCCTTACAAAAGACTACTCATGAAGTTGGAGAGTCTTGGTATCAAAGGCAGCTTACTAAACCGGATTATGAAATTCCTCGCAGATAGGAGGCAGACGGTTAGGATCAACTTGAAACTCCCATCCCGGACAGCAGTGCATAGCCGAGTGTCACGTGGCGCTGTACTCAGACCTCGAGTGAAATTACCCAGCATGCTCAAGGTCATTAACGGAGTGAGACGCTCAAATGTCATTTTTGTCCATGTTAGTCGGCCATGCTGGATTGGATTTCCGTTGCCGTTCCTTTACTCATCGGTTATCCCGCTTATCCTGCATTTAATCACAACTCATCTTGATGCGCATTGCTTACAAATGCTGCGTTTCACCTCGTTTTTGTTTCCGTTGCTGTTAAAATGACTAATTTCGTATGTTTCGGAGGTTTTTACCACCGGGGCAGTGCATTCATTTCATTACAACTGTTTCACACGTTGATTTCATGCCTGGTTACAATGTTTTACTTGTTTTTCAGCTATCAATGAAATAGTGCTGCGTAGAAGTTTTGGAAAATGTGCACGTGAACGTGTTTAGCTGGCAAAAGTTCGTGTTTCTGGTCCGTTTTCTGGTTGCCGTTATTGTTTCTTGCTCAATTGAATAATTAGTATGTAGAAATCTGGAGAAGACAATGTCTTTCGCATGCATGTTTACAGCTTGCAGCAATCTACGAGTCAATCTGGTGAGGAGAATACGATGAGGTGTGATATTGGCAAGGTTTACGAAGAGCATATTAAACCTGTAAATTTCATAACGTGGTTTGAAGCTGAAAAAGCTGTGAAGCTTTTCGAGAAGCTGAGTATACCATCAGTGTACATTATCACTTAAAGAATCATGTATATTGTCAGGGAATCTAAATCAAATACGATTGAGTCACATGGGAAGTGTGAATCTGTTGTGCTTGTATGCAGTTTTGGAACTGAAGGAAACATGAAAGCAACGAGAAACCCCTGAATGATGTTACCTCTGTTTATTAATACCCAATGTACTAGATCCAGATACATGAACTAAGACCACCTGTAGCAAAGCCAGTGTTAACAGCCATTCAGTGTGTTGCAAATCCACTTCAGAAGCGGATAACATGGTGGTCTGGTGAGTGTAC